TATAAATATTATAAAGCAATAATATTTAATAAAATATATCATCTTGATTTAAAGTTTTTCCTATATCAAATTTAATCTATCCAAAAATATTTAAAAATCTTATATTATGCTTTGATTAATTAATTGGTTGTTGACTTATCATAAAAGAATATAAGAATTTAATAAAAATAATAAAAATGATGAATTAGCAATAGTTTTTTTTTTTTTCAGGTGAATGGTTCTGAAAACATGTAATAATATGTGCATTAAGAGTTAAAGTTTTTTTATTATTTATTATTACTAAAAAATTTTGCAAATACTTGAATACTTTCATAATTTTTCGACCTTTTTAGATGTGAATCATGATTTCAATCACACTTATGACCTCAGTGACATTAATGGAAATCATACGTTGTTTGTTTGCTCAAATATTTCAATTTCCGCTATCAAAAATCATAAAATTTCTTTATTTATTAATTCATTCATTCATCTGATCATATCATTCTTTATTTTCTTACCATAATTACGGAACAGAAAGAAACCGGATTTTTTTTTTTTCGCAAGCGGCGTCGAAACGATTCCGATGCGCCGTGCTATTTTTGGATGCTTATCTCTTTGAGATCGAGCGGCTGGCGTCTTTGAAACAGATTCCTCATTTTAATATTACATGTTCGTATTTGGTCAATTATTCAATAATCATTTAGTTCGATATCTACTATTTTTGATTTTTTAAAAGGCCCCTCAAAAAAAAAAAAAAAAACAATATATTTTTTTCTTTGTACGCCTGCAGCCTTACATTATTATTATACGAATCGAATGGTCTAAAATGTGAAAAAAGATTACTCTGATGTATTAACAATGGCAGAATATGAATAGGTAGCGTGTTTTTTTGTTTGTTTCTCGCAAATGAATATTCATCGGATGCATGTTTTATGCTCGAACTCTTTAATAATTTATTAAAGGACTAATGGGGTTAGTGAACTTTACCATTCTTTAATAAAAATGAAATACAATTAATCTCGTTTAAGTTTCACTAAAGGATGATGTGCTTACAAATATACCCTAGATGTGCACCGTTGCAGAACAAGGTTAATAAAAATTTCATAAATAATTTTTTTAAAATTTCATCGTCACCCATTTCATCTGAGAATGACCTCAAACCGCAAATTCATATTAAGCAGAGACTAATTTGATTTTTCTACGTTAATTGTTCTCTTCATACATACATAAAAAAAGAAAAGATCACATTATTTCTTTACCTTTGATCACCGCAAATGATCTCCCGTACCTTCAGATCCCAGATCAGAAATGTTGAATGGACGCTTTGGATATACAGTACTACTGTATCTTGTCAAAAATAAAGAATTCACAGAAAATATTAGCCTAGTTTCTGAAACCGCAATTCCAGATCATTATTTTTAGGGACAAATTAAAATGGGTTGGATCAAACTGGTTTTGACCGAATTGCTTAGTTGTAATCTTCGTGCGATCGGATAGACATGTATGTATATTAATATGGGAAAAGGGTACGATATAATCGTAAAAATAATAGATGTTCTTTTGAATCTCGTCTATCAACTTGCTAACATCCAGTACGGTTATGGATCACGCAAGATAACGTATAACATGCAGTAAATTCTAAAAATATGAGAAATGTGGTCACATAGTTGTATGATACAGGTATTTCAAGTTTCCCTGAATCTTATTTCGATACCCATGATAACTTGCTGGCGATGATTTTGGTTAGGCACTGAAAAAACAATCCAATTTATCGAAAGTTCTATAATGGTTTTGCTGATGATCTCCATGAGGTCATCTACTGAATACATTAATGAAGGTCCGGTTTGTTCCCCGATTGAGTCTAAATTAAATTCTTTCAATTTGATACGTCACGCAAAAACATGATAGAATTGATAAGGGAAAACAAAAATGAACGTGTGTATGATTCATACCACGTCTTAATCACCAAGCAGAATGGACTTCGTCTTTAACATTCCAAAAAAACACGATTATACATTGCGAACATAGATCACAAATTTATTAGCATGAAACAAAATACTGTTACTTTTGTTCGGATCACATAGTTGATCACACACGATTTTTCAAGTCTGCCCGGTTTATGTTTACAGTAACACTTATCTAGGGAAGGTTTAGGTGATCCAATTTTAATACTTTATTTCGATTCGGCAAGATTAACATATAACCAAATGTTCGTGTCCTTTCCGTGAAAAAAAAGTCAACTTTGATGATACGCGCAATAAATCCCAATTGTTAGCACATGGATAAACCATCCAATTACCATACTTGGTCATAACACACATGTATGAACTTTTTTTATTTTTAAACTCTCAGCCTATTTCTTGGCCCTCATTTACGAAAACATTAGTTAGTTCCTGAGCTTGATTTACTAAAAAATCTTTTGACACTTTGGTGAAAGGTTCGGACTTGTCGTCCGTGCCCCTTGAACATATGATATTTATATCCGAGATCTTCAATATTTATTACATGTAACCTATTCTCCACAACTCTCTATTCTGAAAGTTAAAGAGTGCCTTTTGTATCACTTCATTTTTAGTGCTTTTTTTTTATTATCCCAAACAATTAATACATCTACCATATGTAATAATCGATAAACCAAACGGACATTGGCCGAACGTAATTTATCATAATCTTTGATGGTACATTATAAGGAAATTTCTTTTGAAAATTAGATTCTTAAAAAAAAAAAAAAAAAAACACTGATTATTTATTTATTTGTGTGTCATAGACAGCAAATAGGAGATAATAATAGAAATGATAATGTGGTAAACATTCTTCGTGATTATGTTTGAAACAATAAAAATTGAATTTCGTCCCAACCAATCAAAGTTGGTAAAAAATGAACACCAAGATGCTTATACGAAATATTGTTTATCAAGATCATTTATTCCAGAATAATAAGTAACGATAAGAACTGGATTCACATTATGACACTAATTGGTTATTGGTTCCAGGTTACGCGAAAACTAGCGCATTTGTTTGCTTACGTATCTCTCATGGTTTCCTTACTCAGTTAAAGGTTATATACTATACGTTCGATGTGCGGAACTTTCGTTTGCATTCAAAGCAAGGCGCACTAATTATTTCGCATCGTTCCATTAAAGAAAAAGATCAGAAAAAGAGCTGCAGCATTGTGTTTCTGAATTTAGGTTGTTCTAGATAAGAAGCGGCAAACCACGAGTACAATCCTCAGATTTAGGCTCCGAAATGTGACTCTAAGAAATTGCGTTCGGCGTGATTGCAGGTTCCAATATGCGTGTGCTACAATCTTGTTTATCTCATGCTCCTGATCAAATTTTGTCAATCTTATTTGGAAATCTTGGGGGTGTACAGTGATTTTTGTAATTTACACAGCGGATTTTCTATGAAACTTTCATAGTAATAGTTTTGAGGAGGAACCATTTTGTTAAGAACAAGATATCTCTTGGTCTCGGTGGATTCCGTAAATCTACGATGTGATAATGTCGTAGCACCGCACAAGACTTGATACAATCACGTTTGATGTGAAATCCAACAGTCGGCGGTGTCTCCTGGTTGGCCGTCTGATATATTTAATTCTATGCTGTGCTCTGACGAGAGCTTACTTTATGGTCTGCAATTTGGTTCAAAAGACACTATATATAAGTGAGAATTTGCTCTTTGAGAACATCACAATACTGGTATTCATCTGCATTCACATCACCAAGCCATTAGTTCTTTAACGTATTACTTACTCGGTAAGTTTGACGCCACGCCACGCGGTTAGGAGCGATCACTGACAGTGAGCATGACATGAAAAAAAAAATAATAATAATGCCGCGAAATTTCCCTTTCGGCTATTCTTACATAATAATTTGATATTGTACGTTGTCGACAAATTCGGAACTTTGAAAGGACAATGTCAACCGAATTGTCACATTCTTTAATTTAACCCATTTTTACCGAAAATAATAACAACGATAACAAAAACTGATGATCAGAGTATATGGTTTTTTTGGTCAAAAGGAAATTTTGATGATCATAGAAGGTATGATCTATGTTCCTTATGTTCCAGGGATCAAATGAGTACCACCTATCATAACATGAAAAAATGGACTTGGTGTTATGCGCCATGCGGCTGTACAGAGTATTATATGTAATATGTACGTACGTATATCTGCTGTGAGTGAAAGCTGATCTTTAATCTAACTCAGCGTGTACGTACTATGTAAGTTATATTCGTGCGTAGAATGAGAGGTGTTATATGTATAATGGCGATATTTGATATGTGACACAAGTAGAATTGAATTATAAATTATCTTAGAAAAGTCGCGTTACACTAAAACAGTGTTCTGCTTATTTGCTTATTGCAAATATATAACCGGATGTACGTCTCTCTTTTTTTTTTTCTTTCTTTTTTTTTTTTTTCTTTCCTCTTTCTACTTGCTTTTGTAAGCTTGAATAACCTATCTTCTTGTTGGAAAGTTGTTTAATCGCAATCAAAATCACAATTCTACCGCTGACGGATAGACAAAGATATTTCATTGACAGGAAAGAACACTATAATAAAAGAATTAGAGGAAAAAATTACTTTTTTCACCGTGAAAATTGCTGGGCGTAAGTTATTGCTTACCTGGTTTACACAAGAGGACAACTAGAATAGAGTTAAATAAAAATTTCCCGCAGAAAATTATTCCCAGTATCGCGATGTTGCGTCGTGTCATTTAATTTTTCTCGACCTCACACCCCAAAGTTACTGAAGAAAAGAAAAACATTTAAGACAGACAACCTTGTGTTTATTCGAAGAACACAGGGGAAGCGAAAAAAAAATAGAAAACTAGATTTTTTAACACATCCCTACTTAATTTAATCATTACCTGATGCAAAACAGAGGAACATTCATAAAACTGATGAATAAACGAGCGAGAAGCCCCGTAATGACCAGGGTGCACTACTCCCGTTACATGTTCTTCTCCGGAATAGTGATAATAATAATGTTCTCCTTCTTCCTATCGCTGATCGACATGTCGGTTTTCCAATCTGAACGACAGATATTTTTTGAAACCCAGTACATAGATCCCCTGGAGGATCACTCATTACAGTACTGTAATCAGTATAATGCCTCGAGGGTGAATGGAGCCATCGTGGTGTTGGTAAGGAATAAAGAGTTACACGCGTTAAGGGAGACGATGAAACATTTCGAAGACCGATGGAATAGAAAATATCACTACCCCTATGTGTTTCTGAATGACGAAGAATTTACCGAGGAGTTTAAGATTTTAACCTCCGCCATAACCAAATCTGAGACTCATTACGGTATGCATTAAATTGAGCATTGGGAGTGTTGGTTTCATTCATTCATTCATTCATTCTTTCTTTATTGACAGGCCTAATACCTCATGAAATGTGGAGCTATCCGTCGTGGATAAATCAAACCCGTGCTGCCGAAGCCCGTCACGAGATGGAAAGCAATGATGTCTTATATGGTGGCAGTGAATCATATCGTCACATGTGTCGATTCAACTCTGGTTTCTTTTTCCGTCACGAACTGATAAAGAAATACGATTATTACTGGCGTCTTGAACCCGGAGTAGAATTCCTGTGTGATATTGACTACGATCCATTCCGTTTCATTCAAAAAAACAACATCACCTATGGATTCACCATCTCGCTGCTTGAACTCCAAGAGACCATACCGACACTTTGGGATACGGTGGTCAAGTTTTCGGAAGAGTACCCACAGTACTTGAACGAGCGAAATGTAATGAACTTCATGTCACCCGACGGTAAGACCTACAACGGATGTCATTTTTGGAGTAACTTTGAGATCGGAGATCTGAATTTCTGGCGAGGAGAGGCGTACATGAAATTCTTTGAATATTTGGATCAAGCCGGTGGATTTTTCTACGAGAGGTACGTACAATTATCAGAGACCCAAGATTCTCCCCCTTTTTTTTATACATAAACACTAAATCTCTCCTTTACCTTCCAATTATAGATGGGGTGATGCACCGGTTCATTCGATAGCGTTAGCTCTGTTCCTCGAGAAATCGCAAATACATTTCTTCAACGACATAGGCTACAAACACTCACCATTTCAGCATTGTCCAATAGAAAAACGGTTCCACGAGAGTGGAAAATGCTTTTGTAATCCTTCTGAAAATTTTGGTGAGCATCGAGAAATTTGAATATTTCGTTCTTAGATGTGTTTTATTTGTTAACAGTCTACTTACTTTACCCGCTCATAACTCACCGCAAAAATTTTACAGATGTTACATATGGGTCATGCACAAAGAATTGGTTCGCCATATGATAACGACGGAGATAATGATTTTCTTTTAATTATATATATTTTTTATTTAATTTATAAGTACACACACATAATTTCATGTAGTGTCTAAGACATAGGCGCGCGGCTCTTTCCGATATCTTATGTTCAACATAATTGACACATATGGCTTATTTCCAACTTACGGATTAGCGTCAATGAGATCACCATCTCATTTGCCTTTGTAGCGAATTCGCCCGGTGCGTGCTATCGTTTAACCAACCGCAAGAGACATTAATAAATTCCCCAATAAGATAATTTAAAATTTATATAAAATTATATACAGTATATACACACACACTAGTTTAATAGTTTAATGTAAAATCAACGCAACAACAAATTCACCCAATAACATAAAATCCTTTCTAATTCTTTTTTTCTCTGTCGTCAGTTGTATAGCGATTAGACGTAATTTAAGGAATATCTCGGTGGTTTACCTTTCT